TCAATATAGATATATAATAATTTTTTCATTAAGCGAACCATAAATTAATTATTAATGTTCTTCATTCTTTCCTTAAATAAAAATTAGAAAATTATATAATGTGGTTAAAGTATATATGATAATTAATGATTTTAAATAATAAATATTTGACAAAAATTAATGTACCCTCTATCATTTTTTTAACTGTAAAATATAAAAATAAATTAAACAATCATATCAACCATATCAACCATATATTAAATTTATTTTAGATTTTTCAATTTTTCAAAATGACTATAAATTACTAAAATTTTCAAAAGTCCCACATTGAAATTTTTGTAATAAATGATTTAAATTATTTCTTACAAGAAGAATAAATAATTACAAAATCACATAAGTGAGAAATATTATTTAATAAATATTAAAATTAAAAGATATATATATATATATATATAGAATAATAATAAAATATTTTAATTTCAACATTTACTTAAAAAAATTCATAAAAGACATGAACAAATATTTAAAAAATTAATTTTTAAGTTTTAAATTTTAAATTCTGCAATGATTTTTTTAAATTACTAAAACTATTAAACATCCCACAGTGAAAGTTTTGTTATTAGTGATTTAAAACTTTTGTTAGAAAAAGATGTAAATGATCAAAAAACATGTAAGCAGAAAAAATCATTTAATAGATATCAATATTAAAATATGCTATATATATATGTGTTAATACCATCTAAACTTAATTATATAACATATTTATGCACTTAAACCACTTTAATTATATATGTAATAGTTATAGACTTTTAATTATTTAATATATATTTATTATTTCATAATACTAAAAAACATATAGTACATAAACAAAATTTTATATCTTATGTTTATACCGCGCAAGGTGCGGATCTTACCTAGTCTATATTATAATAGGAGAGATAAATCTCTTCTTAAGGTGTCCACATGTAGATGTTGTGGATCCCATCTTTAATTTTTTTAGTCTTTTTTTTTTAAAAAAATAGCTTTGCATAAGAATAGTTTTGCTAAAGTTGTCACAGGATCTCTTCTTCTGTGGCGTCATATTTCCGGTGTGCTCCATAGGCCTTTCGGAAGTCACTCCGGCGACGACTTTCTTCCTGTGAAGACGGTGGTTGCTTCATGTGACACGTAGGTTTCCTTTGCTGAATGATGTCCACGTGTCCTCATACTTTATGCTAATCTACGCGTGATGAACAAGTGAAAGCCATCTTCTTCTAAGGTTATTTTGTTGTCTAGATCTGGTTGGACCGAGTTTTATTTTTACCCATCGTTTTGGCCTTTCATGTACTGTTTCTGGCATTTTTATGGCTTTTGTAATGATATTTAGTATTATAAGACAAAGAAAAACAAAAAATAGCTTTGGGTCAAAGAGAATAACCTCTAATACAAAGCAAATCAATCATTATTGAATGAAAAAGATTGATACTGAAGCAAAGTAGTAGTTGATAAAATACTTAGAAGTTACCATCAATGACGTATCTGAGCAGCACAACTCTCCCTGCAACGTTTGGGTCAGAGAAGTCAAGGAAAACAAAGCCACGAGCACGACCAGTTGCTCTATCCTTCATGATCACAACCTCTAAAACCTCGCTGAAACTCTAAAAATACTCGCGAAGACGATCTTCAATGGTATCCGAGTTAATTACGGGGTTATCTTGATTTATTCCCTACAATATCTTTTTTTAAAACTATTTTCATTTATTTCTAACAAATTCAAAACTTATCTATTGCAGGTTCCGAGACTGACTTATCAGCCAAAGATCAATGACAACACAGAAAGCATATAAAAGTGTGGTAAGCAAACCTCTCATTAATCCCACTTTAGAAGAATTAGCGTCTCTCAATCTCACAAACAAAAACAGTAAATATCAACAAGAATCGAAGGATATCGTTACAAGAATCTTGTCGAAGTATGGGAAAAAAATAACGGTTTTCTCAGATTCAGAGAAAAAATTAGATTGAAGCTCACTAAATTTAAAACCCAGACTTTTTAAATCCCTGTTTATTTTTAGTGGATCAAAAATAAATAACAATTTATATTTTTGGTCATTTTATTTTATATTTTAAACTATTTTGGTCTACCTGTACAAATTTTTTTTCTCACACTCAGACAATTTAAACAAAAATCCAGTAACAAACCTAAATACCTCTCTCTATATATATATATATAAATATAATATTATAAATTTCTAAACTTACTACTTTGTAAAAATACAATTTAAAACAATTCTAATTTTTTAAAATAAATTTCAGGTTGAATAAAGAAAGTAACTTATTGTACTTTTTATATAAATTGTTAAATTTTAAAAAAATCTTTACACTATTAAATTTGTATACTAACAAATACCTAAGTTGGGTAATTTTTGAACAATGAAACCTTTAATAATGCTAATTATCAATTAAATCATTACATAGTTAAATATATAAATACTTTTGTATATTAATTCGCTGATCATTTTTTTACAAACCTAATCAAGTTGCGTAAATTTCATTCTTCCATTAATAGACAAATATATACAACATGAGAAAAAAAAAATTAAGGATAAAATCACAAAACCAAAACAACATAATGCATCAACAACGTCCTCGGCCTCGCGCTTGCGCGGACGCTATGCCTCTAGTTTTAAAAATAAGACACTTTGTCAACTGGTAAATGGTATTGTAAAAATCTAATCTAGCTTAATAAGAAAACAAGTAGGCATTGCATTATTTAAATGAACAAATAAAATCAGGGGTCAACATTTGGATGTGATAGTTTTGATCATTAGTGTTTTCTAATAAGTATTATGTATATAAAACTATAATAAGCAAGTAATCTTTGCGACTTTATGGACTTTACATAAAGAAAGATTGGATATTAGCTTGTTTTAGAATGCTTGTGTTCTTGATAATAACAATATACTTTGCAAAAGTTAGTTAGATACAAAATCCACTGAAGAAAGAACAAAGATCCGTGGTACTTGGTAAAAATCATGGCTGTCTCTTCTTTACCCACATGTATATTTTTATATCAACACTTTCATATGTATTTAACTTAAATATCTTGATGGAAAAAAGTTACAGAATATTATTTTTGAAATTAAATACTATCTCATCACCACGGAAACCAGCAGATGTATATCTCTAATTTTGTGTATGTGTGACTATATGGATCATTACTGCTATTACTTACCAATAGGCAAACTATTTCATTGTTAAAGTGAAAGTTTTAACAATTGTAAATTACTTTGTAATACATAAAACTGCTGAACGTAAACCAGGCATATGTCCAACAAGAGAATTTCATTGTAAAGTTTTTCTATATGTTTGTAAATTTGTAATACAGAGAAAGGAAAATAATATCCAAAATTGTTTGTTCAATCAGTTATAGGATAATTTATAAGTGGGCCATATATCGGTATTAATTGTGAAAGTTTTATTTCATATATACATATATTAATTACAAGCTGAAATACTAAAGCAACATAAAAAAAGATACCATATATTTTATTGTTTGTTTTAGTTCACAACCACAGCATATGAGCACTATAATAAGTTTAGAATCTATTATCGTATTGATTCAATTGTACATTTCTTTGTAATACATAAAATTGTTGAACAAAAACCAGGCATATGTTCAACAAGAGAATTTCATTGTAAAGTTTTGTGATATCTTTGTGAATTTGTAATACAGAGAAAGGAAAATAATATCCAAAATTATTCGTTCAGTCAGTTATAGGATAATTTATAAGTGAAACATTTAGTATATCGGTATTAATTGTCAAAGTCTATTTCAGATATACATATATTAATTACAAGCTGAAATACTGAAGCAACATAAAAGGACGATACCATATATTTAAAAATTTATTGTTTGTTTTAGTTCACAACCACAACATATGAGCACTATATTAAGGTTAGAATCCACTATCGTATTGATTAAAAATTATTAAACAGTATTTCATTAACATTTTGTTTATTCCAAGCTTTAAGCAGTACTATTATATTTGAGATAAATAGTGTAATGATTGTTAATCAATACTAAATGTTTTGTGAAACATTTTCAGCTACTTTGCTTAAGATAATTGCGTGTGTGACAGCTTAGCATCAAATGGGTTGAGCAATTAAGGGTATCATTGGAATGTAAGGGTCAGATTAATAATTTAATTTCTTAATTAGCACTCCACTTGCACTTTTCTTTTCTTAAACTAATAATTACTTTAATCTTCTTTGTCGTTTTCTATTTCCCTCATTTATTTCTTTTTTATATACATGTTGGTGACCTCAATTGAAAAGGCGGAAAACTTATTCAGTCATGTGTGTTTGGAAAAACCCTAGCGAGCTAAATGATTGTTAATTTTTTCTTCCTTTTGATTTGCAATATAAACATTTGGAAAATATTGATATTTAGTGATATATATTGCTACATTATGACCACCCTTGCCCAATACAGCAAACTTGATCCTTTGAGGGTTATTACAATAAAGTGTTTTGGATTAATTGTTTATAATATTTTTATGTTTTTCAGATAGAATACAGTTTTTGATGTTTCTTTTAAAATTTATGTTTATAACCTAAGAGAAAATAGTGTATATTAGCAGCATAATAAAAATGTGCGTTAAAGTATGTCCTAATTGGATATGTTTTATTGATGAATAAAAGTTAACCGTGGTGGTACAAAATAATTTAAGCGAAGTTTTATTTCAAATCAGAGAACTCAAAGCATTTATGTGTGGATAGACAATATAACTAAAAAAAATAAACAACCACAAATGAAAAAAAAACGTTTCTCTCCGTAAGCAACTCATTAAGTCGAATATAATTTTAGAAACCTTAAAACAGAAATCAACAACCTAAAATTAAGTAAAAACTATAAACCATGTACCGATTCGATACATGAACAATTGTTATATAAGAAAAAATAATAATTCCGTAAATTCCATGAAAATAAAAGAGGAAAAAAAAATCAAACTGAAGTTGTTTTTTTTTTTTTGAAAAAGTAGCTAAAACGGAGCCCTACCGGCTGAACTCCCCTGCCAATTTTCAGCACCCATATGAGGCAAGCTCATCGGTAAGCTGAAGAACGGCAAGCCTCCACCACCGTTGTTCCCTTCAGAGTAAATATTTCCTCCTCCTCCTCCTCCACCGCCGCTTTGGACCATTAACTGCTCTTCATGCTCGTCCAAAGGCAACCTCTCGTAAGCCACGTTCGTAAAAGATGCCGCCATGACCATCACCGGCCCCGCCGCCATCAATTCTCCAACAACGTTACCTCCGACGACCTGTCCCTGAGCTCCGGCGAGGAATATAGTCAAGCTAGTCGCTCCTGGAGGAGCAGGCGGCGGAAGAAAAGATCCAGAGAGGGAAAGAATCTCGAAAGTGCCACGCAAAGTCACAACAGCTCCGACCGCCGTCGGCTGACGGATGCTGACGTTAGTGACGGTTCCTGTTCCGGACATAACACAGATCCCTCGCTGTCTCCGCCGCGCGTAAGTGGAGATGCACTCGAAAACGTCGCAGCCACTTCCAACTTCGAGAATGTGAGCCCTAAGAGTGTTTGCGCTCTCGCGCGTGATGATGGTTGGAGGTTTAGGTTTGTTCTTTGATCCAGCTGGACGGCCACGTGGCCGCCGCATAACGAGATCACCGCTTCCTCCTCCTCCTCCTCCTCCGCCACCGCCTAGTCCAAGGTTGTCATTAGATACTATTAAATCTAAACCATGATGATGGTTATGTTGGTGGTTTCCTACAGCGCCACCGTCATCTTCGTGGTGGTTGTCGGTGGAGAATTGTCCGACGTTGTGGACGTAACGAGAGGTTGAGCCTAGATCGAGACCAGCCATGGCTATATCAAAGAGAGAAAATAAAACAAGATATATTTAAAAAGGGGAATAGAGATTTTATAAACGTAATTGGAGATTCTAATGATTTAGGTTTAGATTTATTGTAAGAGATATATATCACACAAGCGGAAAAGATATAAAAAGCAGAGAAGAGAATATATAGAAACCTGAGAAATGGAATATTTTTTAAGTAGAGGATGGGGAAGAAGTAGAAGACCAAGTTTTCTCTCTGGTCCAAATTGGCCCCAAAGGACGATTATTATTAAGAGATTGTATTCTGTGAATGGAGTGCAGTAACTGATCAAACTTGATTCCAAGTTACTCACAAGTCTTAATTATTGTGGTTCTAGATTAATTTTGATTTTGGGGGCCACAGATTTTTCTTTAAGAATTTTGATAAAAACAAATTTCATAATTTTGGAGGGCTATATCTATGTAAAAGAACTTCAAAATTTTTAGAGGCCAGAGCCATTGTATCATTAGCCTATACTGAGATCCGATCTTGGTTCTAGAATTTGTCAAATGTAAATGTTATATATTGAAGAATCTACCATTGTACTATGTCTTCTCCCATAATAAAGCATTGGTCATAATTTGGAGACAACATCGAGATCCCAAGAATGTGGTAAATATATCATTTGTTTGATCTTTTTCATGTGATCATTATAAATCAACCATTTTTTATTTAATTACATGTTTTCTACAATGTCACAGCAACATATTAGACTGAGATTCTGAGTAACTGTTACCTATAAGTGAACCAATACATAAACTAACGCAACATAAATAAATGAGTGAGTAACTACATAAGATTTAGACAAAGATAATATTAGTTCCCCCCATAAGTTGACTAGCAATGTATGTAAGCTTATCAAATACAATTTTATCTATGTCAGGTACTTATCATAACAAGTTTCATGTAGTTTCTTTAGCTTAAAATAAGTTATTACATGCTTGCCGTTCAAAGATGGGGATGGAAAAAGCGTTAACCTCTAATTTTAACTGACCTAAAAGGCCGAAAGCCATTGTATTTCACAAGTTTTATTACCACGAGGCATGCACGAAGTATTCAGTTTTTCATAACGTCCAATCAGTTCTGTTTTTTTTTTACCATCGATTACTTCTAATTAAGATTAATTCTGACTAAGACACTCTTTGGTAAACATAAATGTAAAATCATTCACTTTCATATAAATTAATAGGCTTAAATTTGGTGTAAATGTCTGCTAAACTCTTTTATCATTCAAATTTACTCTGTCTCGTGGGAAAACTCAAATGTTTTGTTGTAAATTTGTAAGCAAATTACTAGGGAGTTTAGTTGTACCTTATAGTTAGTTAACCAAGTTGCGCATTAACTATGGTTTTTCTTTTCCTTGTTAACGATTAGCTATGGTTAACAACTTCAAATTGTTATTTTATGTTGATTAGCTTAAAATAATGAGGAGAAACATTAAACAAATGGTAAGCAACGCGGAGATTCATGCGCTCAAGTGACGGATGCGCAGCGGCGCGTGGTTCCATGCTCTTATGGGGTTTGCTTGGCCTTTTGGTTAACAGAAGAAATACATAGTTGACCATTTCTATATTTGATTTTCTGGAAGTTTATTTTATGATAAAACTATACAGCTAAATGATTTTGATTCAAATTTTAAATACAGATTATTCATCAACCGTTAACTGTTGACAGTAAAACTTGAAAGAAACAAAAAAAAAAAAACATGAAAGAAACTTACTCCTAGTGATCATCAAACAGTTGATAAATCTCCTAATCTTTTCGAAAAACAAATCAAGTTAACCATGATACAAAGATAAATTTCATCAACTGATAATGAACCAATATAAGTAAAACCCACATTGCAATCAGCATGTTTTAGTACCATATCGTATTGCTCCATTGTTCAGCAGATTTGTTTATTTTAATTTACCCATCACCTATGGATACCTAAAGACTTAGGGTTCGAGTTGCAACCATCTTGAGATGACAAAAAGCTATAGACAAAGAGAGATTAAAAACATTGCTTTAAATTTTAAACTTTTTTTTAACTATTTACCCTCCTAAATAATAGGAAAGTTTAGTAATTAAGTAATAAATTACTAGTGGCAAAAGCAATATTTTATACGAGAAACAATAATTTAAGAACAACGGCTTATATGGAAAGGGATAGACTCAGCAACGGCGGACAACGTGTGACGACAGCTTGTGCTAATGTAGAGTTGGAGCCGTTTTAAAAATAAGTCAGGAAGCCGTCCATTAATTATTTTTATTGGCTTTGTTAATTATCAATTCTACTCTAACCAAACTTATTAAAATGAAATTTAATTTTATATTTATATATGATTCCACCAATCGCAATCTAATACAAGAGTTAATTAATTGCATGGACTTTAGAGTTAATTTATTTAGATCATATATACGTCAATATTTTAATTTCGTATTATAATTGAACAGTCATGTGAGTGTGTTTTTGGTCTTTGCGACAAACAATATGGCTTAATATATACATGCCGATCATTAGTTAGTAAGATGTTATTGTTAAAATATGTGCGTATACAGATGCCCCCGAACTTTAAGCAAAGGCGATCTGACCAAATGTTTGTTTTTGCTTTTTAGTGTTTTGGACTGATTATTGTTTTTGAAAAAAATTGCGATGTTTGAGATTACCCCCAACGGTGTTATGTAAGAACTTATCAATAAACAATATGCATAAATTTATATTTAGCGATATTGATTTGATCCGATGATTAAGAAATTTAGAATATGACCGTAAACGGGAACGGGAACAAGTCTTAGTTTAATAAACCCCACGGACGCAAGCAACTTATTATGCCAACATTTTTGGAGTCTTCTTAATTCTCCTCATTTCATAGATAACAAACTAAAGATATAAGATATTGTAAATATAAAACGATGTCCTCTTTAAAAAATTCAAACGAACAACTATAAGTTTTTCAAACGAACAACTATAAGTTTTTTTATTTTTTTGGTCGAACGAACAACTATAAGTTTATAACGAGATATTCTCGTGGTCTTTGGTGTAACTGTGTAAGTTGTAAAAATCAGTTCAAAAAAAACTGTGTAAGTTGTAACTCTGTTAATTGATATAACAATATATTTTTAGTTTCCGCTAAACTTTTAGCAATTTATATATATAATCATTTTAGGCAAAGTTTTCAATGTCAATATAATTTTAGTAGAAATTTATATATTTATATATTTAAAAAAATCATAACCATCTTTTTATTCGAGTTGGTGTTCAGAATAGTTTAAGATTAAATGATTATCTGAACGTTAAATAAATAAAGAAATCTGAATTGTTATTATTTTCGTATTACCAGCTACCAGTATAATAATATGGTTTGCTCCTCCACATGATGCCTACCCACTACTGCCTTCTTTTGTCGTTTTCTGAAATTAATTAAGATTTAAATGTATTAAGAAGACATTAGCCCAGTTGACAAATTAAAAAGTGGCATGATTCCAGCAGTTGAAAGTCATTATTTAGTTTATCCTTTTCCCTTTCTTCTCTGGTTAATTATGGCACAAATCTAATATATCCAGATTTTTAGAGGTATTCGTGATCGATATGTGTCATCCGAATAGTTTATTATTCGATTTCATCTGCTTTGCAATTATTCTAGCCAAACCGAACCGAACTGAATCGAAATTTTTGGTTTTCTGTTCGGTTTCAGTTTGGATCGGTAGAGTTTTAAAAATCAGCCCTTCGGGTTTTATTTTTATTTTTATTTTGAAAATATCAGAAATAATCAAAACTAACCAAAAAAAAAACTGAATTTAACCAAAAAAATCGAAGTTAATCAAAATAATCGAATTTTAAAAAAAATATCTGATTTTCTTTAAAAAAGTATACCGAAAGTAACTGAAAAACCAAAATAATCGGTTATTTGTGAAAATAAAATCGAAAACCAAAAATAATCAATAATCGAGCGGAAATTTAATTCAGTTAATTTTGGAAATGGTTTTCAAAATTTCAGTTAACCGAAAACAAACGCTTTGATTTGGTTCGGTTTCGGAAAACCAAACTCGCAAGGCTACTCAGTTGTTTGGATATCTAGAATTTTTTCTTATTTTAATCAGATATCTGATTCAATCAATATAAATAAAATGATTTTATTTAAAAATTAAATTGATAAAAACAATAAGCTTTCACTACAAAAATAAAATGATTTACTCTAATATATATAATAATCAATATGATAAATAAAATTATAATTTTCCATTACATATAATAATTGTATAATTTTATATATATAGTTCATTAAATATATGTGTTTACATGCATATAACAGATCAGATTGGATATTTATTCCTAAAATATTTATATTTGTAATTTACCTTTTTTTGATATTTTATATTTGTATTATTGTTTATTTTTTAAAATTATGGATATCTGGATATTTAGATTCGAATCAAAACGAATAACACATCTAATCCAAATTTACAAATTTTTTGCCCAACCCTAATACTTGGCCTGGAAAAATATTCGGATACCAAATTATTGATTAATTACATCATATTTATGTTATACCCCCATACTTTTATTTATTCAAAAAGCTATTCTTGTGCTAAAGTTATCCAAAAACTTCTAAGTAGATATTAAAACATATTCAAGAAAAGGAAAATAAGTATATATATAAATTTACTAAGAATATACCCTCAATGTTTTGTATCTATACTATTATATAAGAAGTTAATTTGCTGATTTGTCACATGCTCCATGGTTTTAGCTAATATTGATTATATGTCATATGTTTAATAATTTCATATATAATTTATTATATAAAAAAGAATTTATATGAATAATATTATAATTTACTCATTTATCTACTTTTACATGATTGTAGATAATTTTAACTGATTTGTCATATTTTTATTATATTTATTATATATATATAATTTATTATATTTAAACTAAATTTCTATTAATAATATTATATTTTATGAAATAAAACAAGATAATTCTAATGTATTTTCCTTGTGATTTTAGGTAAATTTGTGTACTGTCATGTTTTTAATAATTTTATATATAATTTATTATATAACAAAAAAAATTTTGATTAATAATATTTTAATTTCAGAAATAAGATAATTCTCATCTTTTATGTTGTTATCTTGAAACTATATTTTCTATTATAAATTTAAAAATATAAAAATTATCTATACTAAATAGAAATAAAAAAAACATTTATTTGATTATAGTTTTAAAAATATTTTTGATGACTTGTC